CAAGTTGAGTTAGGTTATTAGTTTATTATTATTTTTTAATTATTAAAAAATTATATTTATTTACGATACATGTTACATTACTAATTAAAATCTTATAAGATTCAAATATAAAAAATTTACAAATTACAACGATGTTGATTTCAAACGTTAAATATTCAATATTTTTTAAAAGTAGTACAGTAGGATTAATTTGAGTTGTAACACTATTTTTGAATTAATCAGTTTAGTAGAATTGACCCGACAAAAAAATGTCAATCCGCAAACCGAACAAATTTTTTGTTTTTTTCTCAAAAACCCAACCCAACCCAAATCGAACAAAACAATCTAACCCAACTCAATTTTTATAATTTGAGTTGGATAATTCATATTAGTTGAGTTAAATGCATAGTTCAAAGGTAGATTATACGACTGAATTTCAAAAGTTGAAAAATCGAGGGTGTGATCTGAAACGATTGTTACCGTTCAAAGGGTAGTTCGGTAATTTTCCCTTCTAAATATATTTTAATGGTAGGTGTAATGTATATCTAAGCTTAGGAAAATACTTGTTTATAAGTTGACATGGAAAAGTTGGGAAGGATCCAATGAACAACGTGGCAGACATTGGAACAGACATAATACTTGACACGTCACTATGACCCTTAAAACAAAAACTCTCCTTTTCCAACGAAGAAACAACGAAAATTCCATCGTCGTTTGCCGCCGCCGCCGCCGTCGTTGTCGGGCGCTGCTAAAATTTACACCTCGTGTAGTCAAGAAAAACCACCACCGTTGACTTCAATCCCTCTTTTACTTCTCATCTACAAACTCTATTATCTTTTAAAGAGAGATAGAGCGGAAAATATTTTTATTCGTTATTTAAATGGCTTTGGAGACGAAAATTATATTTTTCGTTTCCGTTTTTGCCCTTGATCTTGCCTAAATTCCGATCTTACCACGTCTCATATTCTCCTATAATATTAAATTTTGAATTTTTATAGAATTCATGTTGAGAGTATATTGTATTTTTATTTTTTTAAAAATATTATTAAATTTAATAAGATATGAATTTTTAAAATTTAAGTTCAACATGATGAAATATTATTAAATTAATTAGTATGTTTTACATTTTTAAAAATAAAAATTATATTATAAATAGAAAAATTTTCGTGTAAAACCCTAATCCCACCCAAAAAAAATTGTTTAGAGAGACGCGAAAGCAAAAGCCTATGGGGTCGTTTCTGTAACTCGATAACCACCACTGAAAACCGTCTTTACATTGAATGGTTTGGTGTTTTGATGATCCCTACCTTATTGACCGCAACTTCTGTATTTATTATTGCCTTCATTGCTGCTCCTCCTGTAGATATTGATGGTATTCATGAACCTGTTTCTGTATCTCTACTTTACGGAAACAATATTATTTCTGGTGCCATTATCCCTACTTCTGCAGCTATCGGGTTGCACTTTTACCCAATTTGGGAAGCAGCTTCCGTTGATGAATGGTTATACAATGGTGGTCCTTATGAGCTAATTGTTCTACACTTCTTACTCGTGTAGCATGTTACATGGGTCCAGAGTGGGAACTTAGTTTCTGTCTGGGTATGCATCCTTGGATTGCTGTTGCAGCTGCTACTGCTGTTTTCTTGATCTACTCAATTGGTCGAGGAAGCTGTTGCATATTAAGAGAGATAGGTATTCTCTATTTTCACGAGTTCCGTGGACATCTCTAAATTCAATATATTAAATAATTATATTTATAAAAAAGACATCGTACCACTACTAATTGACTTCGATTTTTTATTTTTATTTTTATTTGAATTAAAAGTGTAATTAATTTGTATTATAAGTTTTAAAATTGAGTTGGATAATTTTAATTTGATTAAATCAGAGAAAAATTTGGAATTTGCTTTTAAAAAAAAAGGGTGGGGCCCAGTTTGGCAGCTACCTGTTAGGTTAGAAGTCATAAAGATAGGGTTTTTAGTAGACCAAATTTGACTCTGACGTGGACAGTAAAAGTCAAAGTCCCATCCCCGACAACCTTTTTCGTTACCTTCCTAGGAAAAATCGTTTTTAAATATTTATTATTTTCAAATTAATAAATAAAAAAAATATGATCGAATTTAAAATTTAAAAAATACACTTAAAATAATAATAAAATAAAATGAAAACTCTTTTATTAAATTTTGAATGAAAATTCGTATTTTACAAAATAATTTTAAAATTTCGACCGTTTCATTAATATCTAAGAAAAAATTATAATTTAATCGACGTAATTGTTTGTATCAAATAATAACATTAATAAATAAATAAAAACAGTTTATCTACGTTCATGGATAATTTTGGCTAAATTAATAAAAATACATTTAAAGTTTGTATTTATCTTTAAAATATTATTAAAAATTTAAAATTTTTAATAATATTTTACTTATTTTTATAAAAAAAAATCTAAAAAATACAAGTTTTGGGACTTTCGTTTAAAAACAATACTAGATTGAGACATTTTTTTTAGACTAAATCTAATTGTTTTGGTCAATTTTTTTTTTTCAACTACAACATATTTATTAATTTCGGAATCAGCTTAAAGTCGATGAATTTAAAAGAATTAGTAAATAAATAAATGAAGTTTCACAGTGTTGTAAACAAGTCTTCCTCTATATAACAGTCACGAGTTTTTCTTCAATTCTTCCAAAAGATTAGTCAATGGATTACTCCGAATTATTCTATCGACTTTTCCACTTTTCAAGAAATAATGTCCGGATACGATGCGTATAATATATATATTTTTTTACATAAATGATGTGAGGTTTTATTCTATAATTTCAATTTGATTATTACGTACTTATTATCCATTCACATTAATGTGTATTGATTAAATTATTCCTTTAGAAAAAAAAATAGGAATATTAAAAAATAATTCAAAAAATCGAATCAATCTAATCCAATCTATACGATTTGGGTTGGGTTCCATACTCATTTGGGTTGGGTTGGTTCAGGGGTTTTCTTAAATTTAAATTAGGTTGAATTGAACGAACCCAAATTTATCATCCAATAACTTTTAAAAATAAATTTTAACTATTTTGATGGTAATTTTTCAAAAAATATATATTGAAATTATTTTGTAAATTTTAATTAAATATTTAAAAAAATAAATAAATAGAGTTTTAGGAATTGACATTTTACTTTTATTAAAAAATAAAACCCAAACAATTATATAAAATCGTAATAAATCAATATATTTCATATTCTACCAACCTCATTTTTGAATTTATTAATATTACAACATGTATTTAATAATTATAAAAAATCTAATTTAAATATTACCATTGGTAACCAAAGTAGTTATTTATTTATTTATTATTATTATTTTTTATGTGTAAACTATTAAGAGGGATTTATGTTCTTGCCTGGTACCATATTTCAAATTATTATATATTTTTTAAATTACTTTATCATAAAGGTAGATATTAAGTTTTCTAAATCAAACAGGCGATGTCTCGATGATATGAAAGAGATGTATCATAAAAATAAGAATTTCGACATACGAGATGTCCCAATGAAACGAACGAGATAATATAAAAGTAAGAATTTCGACATACGGAATGTTCCAATGATACGAACGAGATATAATATAAAAATAAGAATTTTTACTAAACTATTTGAAAAAAGAAGCAAGAACAACACACCTTTAGCTAATGTTCAAGAAAGTCTACACTCAAAGATGATGGATACAAAGGACTCTAAAATCAAATTAACATAAAAAAAATTCTAAACCAACTCCAGTCTTGAAACTGCATTCTTAAGAATTTTGAAGAAGATCTTGCAACTTAGAGAATTCAAAAAAAGAGATATCTCTATAGATGATTCATTGTAACATTTCTGTTCTCGGTTTCATCCGCTTAAAGTACTTTTGGTGCTTGTGTTATGATGAGAATCCATCTAATAGTAGGCACAGTTTTATTAGCATTTCTCTTTCAAAGAGTTCCTTTGTGTTGATTCCTGATAAAGGCTTCGAACAAAAACATCAGAGAAGAAGAACAAAATTTGACTCCAGAATCCAGGACTAATGAAACCTCCATCATCTTAAGAACAACAAACATTCTCGTTTTGGAGCAAGAACTTATTAAGATCATTAGGTTCTTGGAATATTAACAGTCAGTGCAGTACAACAGATTATCAAAGACAAAGGAGAAAATTAGGGATTTCCATAGATTTCAAGTACTCATAAGGCCAATTCCTAACAAACGATTCAGCGATTCAAGAAGTCAAAAACAGAAAAATCACAATACAAAAATGGAATTACGCTCTGTTTCTCAAGAATCAAGCAAGCCACACATCGACAATACAAAAAATAACACAGTAACAGCAATCTTAGTAAGAGCAGCAGAGCAGAGAACTTGAGAAAGCGAAATCAATCGAGTTCAATTAGAAGAAAAAGTAGGTCTTACAAAAATGGCGAAAACTGAATCAAATGTGATGAAAACCTGGTGGATTTATCGCAGAGACTAGCGAGCATGTTCTTTATAAGTAATTTAAAAAAATCGCAGTAGTTTAATCTTGTTATCGCTTGTTACAACATCATCGTTGTGAAATTAGAAATAAAAAATATTATTTATTTATATAAAATTTTGATACCATTTTATAACTTAATTTATTTTACTTTGAATAAACTTAATTAATTAATTGATTTTTATTGAAAAAATTATTATAATTATAATAAATCAACAGTAATCTTTTTTCAATATATATAAAATTTATTTTAATAATGGATAATTATCTAAAATTAAATAATATAATAAAAATATTTTATTTATATAAAATTTTGATAATTTTTTTTTCAAATATTTTTTTTGTTAAAGCATCATCAATTTCAAAACGAGGGCAATTTGGGAAGAAAGGGAGCGGGCTCCCGGTCCCACTTTGTACCGTTAGAGGCGTTAACGGGATATAACGGCGCAAGTTTTTAAAAAATATTACCGTTGGTTTCTAAGAATATCCAAATTCCAAAGGGGGAAATGAGCCGTTGCCTATCCACTCAAGAGTCTCTCTACGAGACGAACCCTTGTTCATCATTTTACACAGCTTTCAGTCGCCCCTCCTGCAAGTTGAAGCTCTCAAATCTTCTCAAATCCACTTGTTTTTCTTTTCATCGATTCGATTTCTTCATGATCTTGATTATCCCTTGCATCGATTAAAACCCTAGATCCGCTCCTCGTCTTAGAATCCAAGATTCAGGAACAAATCTTACTGTTTCTTTAGGTTAAACAAAATTTGAAATGGCTTCAAAAACAGCGTCCAAAGACATTATCACTCTTCGCGGTTCTGCAGCGATTGTCAGCGAGTTCTTCGGTAAGTTATGCGCCTTCTGAAACCCTTCTGATTTCAATTTTCTGTTTAGTTTGTTCGATTATCGATGAATACCCTTGGCTGATTTGTTGTTTTTCGTTTTTCTTGAAATTGCTCATTTAGGTTATGCGGCAAATAGGTATGAATATTGATTTCGTTTTCTGTGCCCTAATTTTCATTTCGGAATCATGTAAATGTGCATTTTTCTCACTTACAAGCGGTGCGGATTTTGATTTGTAGCATCCTCTACAATCGTGGGCTTTATCCGGAAGAAAGTTTTGCTAGGGTGAAGAAATATGGACTTCCAATGTTGCTTACTCAAGATGAAGGTGTTAAGACCTTCATTTCTAATCTAACTGCTCAGCTTTCTGGTAAGTGCCCTTTCTCTAAATGAAGGATTTGCACTATTCAACAGTTCAGTATCGTTTTTTTCCTTCAAATTTATTTTCAGTCGATCAGATTGTGGTTTTGAATCATGAAATTGGTTTTAGAATGGCTGGAAGCTGGGAAGTTACAAAGAGTTGTGCTGGTTATAATGAGCAAAGCCAATAATGAGGTTCTTGAGAGGTGGAACTTTAGAATTGAAACTGATGGAGAGGTTGTAGAGCAAGGGTAATAATCTCAACCAAAAACTTCTCCTCCCTTTCATAAATTTCTGGATTTTGCATTGATTAGATGAATTGTTGCAGTGTGTCGAGGGAAAAGAGTGATAAGGAAATAATGAGAGAGATCCAGGCTATTATGAGACAGATTGCTTCAAGCATCACTTACTTGCCCTGCCTAGATGAACCCCGTAAGTGTTGGCAAATTGTACCATTATGTATCATTTATTACTTTGGGGATTGGTGTGACATGATATTGTTAATTATGGCCAGTTCTAAATCCATGGGATGTCATGTAATTTCCATCATGATCCATGGCTAGTTATAATGATTCATGAGTTACAATGACAATTTCTAGGCCACATTCTGAATCGGTAGGATGTCATATGAATTTTTTCATCATTAAAACATTACTTTTATAGTCAATCTGAACATAACTTGAATAGTTAGCCATGTGTCTCTTTTTAAGGGATTTGAGTTCTAAATCCCCTATGTCTAAGGCCGGTTCTGAATCCATGGGATGTCATGTAGTTTCCATCATGATATCATTATCATTATGCAAGTGTTGCTTCACCCATCATTTTCTTGTCCAACCGAGATGAACCCTACATAGCTTGAACGGTTATATTCTTAGGGCATGGCATGACGATTGTTAGGCCGGAATCTGAACCAATGAAATTTGAGTTCTATAGTTTGAATAGTTAGGTATGTGTGTGAGATCCATCGGTTGGAGAAGGGAACTAAACATTTCTTATAAGAGAAAGCCCAAAGAGGACGATACCTGCCAGCGGTGCGCTTATTAGTCGTTCCAGTGTGTAGTGTGTCATTATGGGATTTGAATTCTGATCCTCCTTGTTTGTATTCTAACACGTAATCATTAGTTTTATAATGATTCCGGAGTTTAAAACTTAATGTAGATAATCTCCATGATGCTCAATCTCAAGTGTTCTCTGATGTTTTGTTGTCTCAGGTGTATTTGATGTGTTAGCATACACTGATAAAGATCTAGCAGTTCCATTTACTTGGATCGAGAGTGACCCCAAACTGATTGCTAATCCACAAATGGTGAAGCTCCATTCTTTCGATACAAAGGTAAGCAAATGGTATAACTCATTTTGTTTAGCTCGCCCTTGCAAGCAACGAACTTAAACATTATAAATGGTGTTGATGCAGATTCACAAAGTGGACACTCTTGTTTCTTACAAGAACGATGACTGCGATGACGAGTAAGAACAACAACTCCTCCTCCCTTTTCTTGAATTTGTTGTTAGTTTTCTGGATCCCTCCAACCCGATCGCTTTCAAGGTGGCATTGTGAATCTTTTATTCACATGTTGTATTGTAATATCAATTAGAATTCCACCATGAACGGTTGGGGTTGGTTGGTTGGATTGTTTGTTTGTTTGGTATGACTTTTTCATTATAAGAAAAGAGATGTTTCTACCGACCAACCAAGTCTTTGTGATGAACATCCACACAATTTGCCAAGAAGAATAGAATTAATCGGCCAAACCAATGAATCCATGTCTTGTAAAAAACTCCGGCCATCCATAATTAGAAACTTTCCCAAGTCGTTTTATCTTGAAAACACCAAAACTTTGTCATCCATAATTAGAAACTTTCCCAAGTAGTTTTATCTTGAAAACACCAAAACTTTGATGATGAAAGGCGAGAGAAGTTGTTGAGAAAGAAAAAGAAAAAAAAGGAAGGAAGAAAAGGAGCTATGAATGTAGATAGTGGTCTGTCATGGGCAGATCAATGGGATAACAACCCTGACCCGAACCCTCCACCGTCGTCGGCGGAAAATGGGAAGAAGAAGAACATATTTAAGAAGAAGAAGAAGGAGAAGGAGGAGGGGGGATCCTCCTCCTCATCGGAGAAGAACATATTTAAGAAGGCAAACTTGAAGTGGATAAAGGAATTGCGAAAGAAATCTGAGAAATCTTGAAAAAACAGAGCTTTTTACTTTCTTTCTTCTTTCTCCTCATCATCGTTGCTTCTGTTATTATTATTATTTTTTTCATTTTCTTTCGAATCAAATGAAGGGGTGATGAAGGGGAAAAACTTCAACTTCTTGAAAGATAAAATACTATCATTGAATTGAATTGAGATATAACTTTGCTGTGCAATATACTTCTGAATCTCTGTTTCTCTAATTTTGTTTGTCATGTATTTTGTTCATGCGTAATAGATTTAGAACAAAAGGGAATGATATCGATGTCTATAACTTCTAACTTCTAACTTCATTTTTAAATCAGAGGTTGATGTTACCAGTTTCGAACTAGAACGGTTCTCCAACGAAAATGGAAGAGGGAGTGAGGAACAGGTTTAATATTCCCTTCTCCAATTTAATATTTATATATATATTTATATATGGATGATAAAAGGAATCATCCATAGATGTCAGGCAAGAGCACTTGTTTAAGATATGAATCACTTTACAAGCAAGATAGATGTCAGGCAAGAACACTTGTTTAAGATTTCAATCTCTACAAGTAAGACAGATTATCTTAGGGAAATTATATTCGAGGCTGATAAGTAAGAGTAAGAATCACTCAAGGAAATTAAAATTTCAAATATCACAAGTAAGGTCGACCTTCATAACAAATTAACGGCATCTACCTACAGCATGTTGAAACCCTTATTGTAATAATGAGACGGTTCATGTGAAATTGGTCACAACCTGAGTTCAACTTCAAAACAACTAGATTTTATCTTACCACCTTCAAATTCATAATGTATGATTGAAATGTCTTGGTTCATATCAATGGACATCTCTAAAAACTTAGTTACACTTACGAATCGAATCAAAGCACTTTTGAGTACGTGAACTTGAGTCAGTTAAAAAACACATTATCCTCGATCCTCGATATTCGAACCACTACCCTCCACATGAACTCAAAAAGAACAAAGTTGTAACAAATTGTAACTTCCCAACATCATATATTTCATTTTCATTATTGAAACTTCCCAACATCATATATTTCATTTTCATTATTGAAACTTCCCAACAACATGACATCTAAGTTGTAACAAGGAAGAACATAGATAAATGAATGGTGCAGCACTTTAACACAAATTTCAAAATAATACAGAACTCCTTCAGGACCAAATGAATAGAGATGAACAACAAACAATGGATATTAAATCAAAATCTTGTTCAGTAATAGTAATAAATAATAATAAGCAACTCATTACCCAGCAGCTATTCACATTTGGATATCTTCTTCCCACAGTCAATGCAACGCAAATCCAGAGAAAACGTCTCCTCGTGTACTGTCTCGTCGATACAACGTCCACACCAATTGCATCGAGCTATACAAAGCGTGCATCCCCTGCATCTCTGTGCGTTCGCGTTCGGGTCGGTGTCGCCTTCTTTTATTCCCTTGCACCCAACCACCGGGCAGTCATAAACAATCCTCATGTTCATGCATTTCGGGCATCGTTCTATGTCGATGGCACGTCCATCGTTGCACGATGGAAAATGAATTCCACCCCGATAGAATCGAGGTTCGTGGGTGTTTAGCTGAGTCAAGTTGTCAGTTCCTAATAACAGCTTCTCCAACTCTTTAAAATGAGCTTCTGTTACTCCATACATTCCTGCTATACTTAGATGTTTCAATCCCGGTCTACCTTTCAACTTGAAGGCCTTCAAACTATCTACAATGCCTCCAATGGTGAGCCTCGTGCATCCCGGAACACATAACTGCAGAAACGACGTTAAAATTAGAAGCGAACGAGTATTTGTACGGTAACTTTGCAGATAATCTGTATTCCGTACCTTTGTGACCTTAGGATTATTGAAAAGAACCTCGTTGAGACCATTATCACTTATCATTACACAGTTCACAAGGCTCAGACTTTCCAGACCACCTTGAGCCTTGCTAGTCAATTTTAAGAGAATGTCGTCTGTAATTTTCACATCCACCTTTCCACATATGTTAATGTTTCTCCAAAAGAAAGGGTCGTCTTCTGCAGTTGACTGCAGGGACTTGCAAACCGATTCAATAACGAGAAGTTCCCGCGTTCCCAGATAACCGAGCACAAAATTTAAAGCTGCATGAGGAGGTTCGCCTGCATCCGAAGAGACACAATTTCCCTCTTCAAGAACTACAGGTTGCACCTCAGAAATTTCGGGCTCGATACTAAGAGTACGGATTATATCCAGAGAATATGGTGGTGATTCGGGATCGGTATGGCAAGATACACCACCTGCTCTTCTCCCATCAGACCATGCACCAAATCCCCCTCCAGAAATTTCAGGTTCAATACTAAAATTCTGAATTGTATCCACAACATGTCGTGGTGATTCAAGATCGGTACGTAAAGATACACAGCCTGCTGTTCTCCCATCGGACCACGCACCAAATCTCCCTCCAGAAATTTCAGGTTCAATACTAAAAGTCTGAATTGTATCCACAACATGTCGTGGTGACTCAAGATCGGTACGTAAAGATACACAGCCTGCTGTTCTCCCATCAGACCACGCACCGAATCCCCTACCAGAAATTTCAGGATCAATACTATAAGTCTGAATCGTATCCACAACATGTCGTGGTGACTCAAGATCGGTACGTAAAGATACACAGCCTGCTGTTCTCCCATCAGACCACGCACCAAATCCCCCTCCAGAAATTTCAGGCTCAATACTAAAAGCCTGAATCGTATCCACAACGTGNCTATAAGTCTGAATCGTATCCACAACATGTCGTGGTGACTCAAGATCGGTACGTAAAGATACACAGGCTGCTGTTCTCCCATCAGACCACGCACCGAATCCCCTACCAGAAATTTCAGGATCAATACTATAAGTCCGAATCGTATCCACAACATGTCGTGGTGACTCAAGATCAGTACAGAAAGATACACAGCCTGCTGTTCTCCCATCAGACCACGTACTGAATCCCCCTCCTGAAATTTCAGGCTCAATACCAAGAGTCTGAATTGTATCCACAACGTGTCGTGGTGACTCAAGATCAGTACGGAAAGATACACAGCCTGCTGTTCTCCCATCAGACCATGCACCGAATCCCCCTCCTGAAATTTCAGGCTCAATACCAAGAGTCTGAATTGTATCCACAACGTGTCGTGGTGACTCAAGATCAGTACGGAAAGATACACAGTCTGCTGTTCTCCCATCGGACCATGCACCGAATCCCCCTCCTGAAATTTCAGGCTCAATACCAAGAGTCTGAATTGTATCCATAACATGTCGTGGCGACTCAAGATCGGTACGTAAAGATACACAGCCCACTGTTCTCCCATCAGACCACGCACCAAATCCCCCTCCAGAAATTTCAGGCTCAATACTAAAAGCCTGAATCGTATCCACAACGTGTCGTGGTGACTCAAGATCAGTACGGAAAGATACACAGCCTGCTGTTCTCCCATCGGACCATGCACCGAATCCCCCTCCTGAAATTTCAGGTTCAATACCAAGAGTTTGAATTGTATCCAGAACAAATGGTGATTCAAGATCAGTATGGCAGGATAAACCACCTGCATTTCTTTCATCGGACCACGAACCAAATCCCCCTCCAGAAATTTCAGGTTCAATACCAAGGGTCTGAATTGTATCCACAACATATGATGATTGAGGATCAGTATGGCAGGACAAACCACCTACGTTTCTCCCATCAGACCACTCACTGAATCCCCCCCGCTCACCAGAACTATGAACAATTCCTTCATTTCCATGGGGAAACGACTGGAGCCTAAAAGCATTGTTCCAAATATAGTTCAATCCAGCAAAAAGCTGATTACTCTCATCAACTAAAACTCTCTCATCTCTTCCAGAACCACCACCGCCACCACCACCACCACCACCATAGTCTACATTCAGATCGTCCAGCCAGCCAGTGATCGCAGTAAAAGTGGTACTCATATCCATTCCAAATGGATCTGAAGGCAAGAGATCCAGAACATCCCCCGGGACACAATCTCGCGACCCACCCCCTTCATAGGTGTCCTCTAAAAAATCAAGGCAATTCTCTAGCTCCCGATTAATCAGCCAGGACATCCCATAAACGTCAGAATTTCTCTCGGGAGCACCATCAACGACAAAACCACCTGAAATGCTCATCGGAGAAACCGAATTTTCCTCCGAAAGATGTGCGGGAAAGATGGGTCGATATGAAAAATTCAAGGCCATTACAGGTACACCCTATCCCAAGATTTTTCTATTGATTTCCGGCGCCAAGGGAAAGAAGGATTGACAAAATTAAGAGGGAAAAAAAAAAAAAAAAACTAGTGGAAAAGATCCCGCAATAAAAAAAAAAAAAAGCGAGAACCAAAAAACTCCCAGTTTCGGATAGCAAACAAAAACAAAGCACACCAAAATTTCAGGGAGTTTCTCGATGAGAACGTAAACCCAGATTAAAGCACAGGCGAGTGAACAAAGGGGAAATTACTAAGAAAGCACCCGCACCGAATATATCCGGAAAGAACAATCACAAACTACGATAATTTATCTTCTTTTTTAGGTTTTCTCAGATCAAATAAAACAAAAAATAAAGGATTACAGAAAGAATAACGAACGAAGAACACAACGGAAATCGAAGAACAAATGAAATCGAAACGAGATTACCAGAAAGGAAGAGGAAACCCTAAATTTAGAGAGAGAGAGAGAGAGAGAGAGAGAGAGAGAGGGAAAAACGGCAAAATCTGGCGGAATGGAATGCCCCACAACCGTATCTTACTGGATCGGAACACTGCAAAGAAATCGGTGACTGCCGGAAGCTCCTTTCAGGAATGGGAGAATTCTACCGCGAGAGAGAGAGAGAGAGAGAGAGAGATTCGAGTTCTTAGAGAGAGAGAGAGAGAGGGAAGGGGGATTAAGGAGAAGAAAAAAGATTTTATTTAAAATAAAATAAAATAATGGGGAAAGGGTGAGAAGGACACGTGTCGGTTTCTGTTGGGGGACCCTCAAATATGGCGGGAGCGGGCGGTTTCAGCCTTGGAGGAATTGTGGGCCATCCCTCCTCTAATTTAGCCTCCGTTTCAAATTCCAACTGCCATATTCCACGCGCTTATCTCCTCGTTTGTTTCTCCCCTCCCCATAATAATAATAAATTAATATATATATCATTTTTTAAAATTCAAATAATCTAATTTTTTTAAAATTATATTAGATTGAATCGAATCCATTTAAATTTATTTATAATTTTAAAATATGCATACTATATTTTATAATTATTTTTTTATTATTTACAGCTCTTAAAAAACTTAAAAAATAATTTTTAAATAATTTAATTGGGTTTTAATTTTTAATGAAATGATTGAAAATAAATAAATAGATATTTTATAAATTAACATTTTATTTTTATTAAAAATAAAAAATTTAATAAATAATTCGAATAACCTCAGCAACTCAATTTTAAAAAAAAATTAAAATTATGACGAAGACCCCTAATTTGATTTGAATTTTAAAATAAAAAATTCATTTTTTATTTACTTTTTTAGCCTTCCATTTTGGTGAGGCATTCGTGAAAAAACTTTTGTGAAAAGGGTAGTTATGTAAAATAACAAACAATTGAAAAAAATCAACCCAATTTAATTATTTACAGAACTTGGAGGCTAAGATTGGCATTTCACAGCTGCGTTCAATTATTTCCAATTAATATAAACTAAATGGTCCCTTATTTTGACAATTTAGTCTTTATTTTCTATTATTATTATTATTAAATTTTAAATTTAATTGGTAGACTTTCCAATTTTTTCTCCAAATCTTTAAATTTATATCAATTTAGTGTCTCAATTAAGGGTGTTCATACGACAGAATAATCCAACCCACTCGAATTACCCAGTTCAGACACAAAATTTAGATTGGGTTATAATCTTTTTTCGATTTGGATTAGGTTGAATATTTTAAAAATAAAAAATTTGAGTTCGTTCGCCACGGGTTGACATTGACTCAACCAACTCAAAAATAGGGTTACAACCCAACGGTGCATTTAAGATTTTTACAAAAAATTAAGAATATTTGACATTTGTTACCGTAACTTGTGACTTGTGAATGTTTGATGTTTGAGTTTGGTAAGATTTTAGTTATTAACATAAAATGTACTGTGAATAAGTATAAAAATAAATAGAGGAACAGATTGGGTTGAGTTGTGAACTCTATTCGGGTTATTCGGGTCACCAACCCAACCATCCCGAAATTTCGGGTTGGTCCAAAAACATTCTTCAACCCAAACCGTGGTATACCCTCGAATTAGTCTTTCAAACTTTTAATTTTGCAGATAATAGATTCTTAACCTATTCGAGTTTTTTAAAATTAGGTTTAGATGGACTAAATCGATATGGGGTCGTAACTTGGGCGTCAAGTCAAAAGTCTTTTTATCTTTCTTGCGGTGCACGTACAAGCATCTCGTGTACATGCAAGGTAGGAAGTTTCCTTCGTTTAAGTAAGCCAAAGCTGAAACTTCTATCCAATTCTTGTCTCCCAATCCAACAAAAGTCCTCACCATCATATTTTACTCGAAAAAAATCTTTAGAGAATTTTAATTCGTCGTTGTTTTTGTCTTTATATGATCGTAACCAATCAATAAAAATTTGTATTTTATTAGTACGAGAGCTTCTTTTTCTCTGTTTTCTTGTATCCCTCGATCTTTTCCAACAAACATAAACTAAAACAATACTCGTACTCAAGTGAGACCGAGATCGAGATCGAGATCGAGAATATAAATATTGGCTGCTAGAGGCGATTTCTTGATATGAATTGCACGAGCAAGATCGGGATCGAGAAATAGGCTCTCGTATGTGATTTCTCGATCTCAATTCCGTGAGATTTTGTCTGGTTTTTTATTTTAATTTAGAGATTACAATTTTTTCAAATATAAAAAATTGGGTATTTAGTATGCTCGATAATATGTCATATGAGCTTTCACGTAAGTGAAAATTTGTGAAATTTAGTGAAATTTATGTTTTAAAACCTCGTAATTAATAAAACCCGGCTCAAATTCTCAATATCGACTCTCACAAGTTAATTTATCGGTGTCAGAGCATAATGAAAAAGATCTCGTAGATGAATTTCTACACGATTGAAACTATATTTTTTAGTTTGACTCATAATAAAATCAAATCGGTTCTCACTGACTTTCGTTCGAGAGTTAATAATTCATTCCCTTCAATATAGTCCTCGGTTAACTCTCTAGGGTCAGCTTCAAGGTCCTCGACCTTAGTAGACACTCGTTGTAGTCGACCGATCTTCTTTAGATTCGTTTATCGACCTTAGGACTTTAACGGGAACGAAATATGTATGATTAATAAAATTATTTCTAATAAATTAAAATAAATAACATAACATAACAATATCTTTGGTAATTAAAATGTCATTTTGTATGGTAAGTTGGCGTGGGAAGAAAAAAATGGAAGGAATTGGGCCGGGTCACTTTGTCAGAATTGGGCCGGGTCACTTCGTCAGCCCGAGCCCATTTTATTTAGAGGCCCTCCAATTTACTTTAAATTAAGATTCATTCCATAGGATTTATATAAATATTACAAACAATGAAAGAGAATATATAATTTATTTATAATTATTCCATATTTTTTAAAATAAAGGTAAGGGTTTATTTGTAATTTATTTATTTATTTTAACCGGGGCCGAGGAAGGATTATATTCTTTATTCTAGTCCCGATTTTATAAATATAAAAAATATTTAAAAAATGACGTAAAAAAATAAATATTATTAGATTTATCCGGATGATTTATTTATTTATTATTTTTTAACGTTTTTTAATAAAATTATATTGAAAAATAAAAAATTATTCGAAAGAATATATATAGGAAAAATGTAATGACGTAGATGTAGGATTCAGATTCGACAACTGATGGCTCTGACATTCCTTGCGACATATGGTCACGTGTGAAGACTATTCCACCAATCACCCAATATAGAAGTGCTGCAAGCGTAACAAGGTGCATTTTTCTTTTTGGTGGACCCCAGTCATATGAACTTCGAACTTAAGCGTGTTTGGATCAATTCTATGTTAAAGTTAAGCACGTGAGTGAGTACAAAACATACTGAAAAAACTTATGTTGGTATGTGGGGATAGAGGAGTAAGTAACGTGACCACGTGGTGTCATGGTCATGCTTGTCCAAGGCATGTTGCCTGTGGCCGTATGTCAGATGTCATAGTCATGCTTGTCCAAGGCGTATTGCTTGTGACCATGTGTTAGATGTCATAGTCATACTTGTCCATAGACGCATGCCTGTTCCAAACCCTCTCTTACATGCTTTCATATATACTTAGGTCTTTATTATTTCAGTTGTGTTCACACGGGGTGTATGACTGTTTACCAAAATTATGTCTACCTCATTAGGGTTAAATATGCCCCAAAATGTCCCATCAGGGCTGAGGTGCTCTAAAATGTCCCATCACGGCTAAGATGCCCTAAAATATATAATAGGGGATGTGACTAGCCGTCAATTCTTCATACGCGGTTATATGATATTAAAACTGCAGTTGTTACTTATTTGCTTTTAGCCTATAACATTGCTCTCTTACAAATCGTTTTTAACGCATTTCCTTACTCACATCTTCTAAAACACTTTCTCTAAAACATGACCGAGGTTTGATCATACGTTTGAATTCTCTATAACTCACAATTTTCATACGACTGACTTGTTCATCGGGTTAGAACGAGTGTCACACACTATGGCACGAGATGCAAGAGAATGCTAGGTTATTAGGTGTGAATCTTGATCGAAACTCTGGGTATGAATCGTTACAGAAAAAAAAAAAACCATTGGAAAATTGATCCTGCAAATTCTCCAACCTCGCCCAGTGGACGAACATCGTGCAATTGAGATTGAGAATCCACATACCCATGCTTTGATTAAATAGTGTAACGACCCAAGCCCACCGCTAGCAGATATTGTCCTCTTTGAGCTTTTCCATTCGGGCTTTCCCTCAAAGTTTTTAAAACGCGTTTGTTAGGGAGAGGTTTTCACACCCTTACAAGGGTGTTTCGTTCTCTCCCCAACCAATGTGGGATCTTACAATCCACCCCCTTCGGGGCCCAGCAGCACCCGTTTCATTCTCCTATCGATGTGGGACCTAGCAATCCACCCCCTTTGGAGCCAGCGTCCTTGCTGGCACACCACCTCGAGTCTACCCCCTTTGGGGCCCAATCTCCTCGCTGGCACATCACCCGGTGTCTAACTCTAATACCATTTGTAACGGCCCAAACTCACCACTAACAGATATTATTCTCTTTGGACTTTCCCTTTCGAGCTTCCCCTCAAGGTTTTTAAAACGCACCTGTCAAATTTCGACACCCTTATAAACAATGTTTCGTTCTCCCCCAACCAATGTGAGATCTTACAAATAGATATACAAAACTCCACGAACACTTCTAACATCACTTGAAACAATTCAATCTCATAAAATCACGGTGTTTGATTTGATTCGTAGGCCATTTCAAAGCCGAACACGAACAAGATTTCGTCACTAATAGCGAGGGACCATAACAAATCCGTGTATGCAATTTTTTCAAAGCTTAAAAAGTGGTGCAGACAAGCTGTCCCAAGTGGAGAAAAAGGAAGCATTTTGTTTAAAACTAAAAGCAAAAGTTGATTAAAGCATAGCCAGAGAATATATATTGAACCACAAAGACTTAAAGTTTATTGCTTTATTATTGTTTTTAATTATTTTCTCAACTTCTTGCATGGCCTACCTTGATTAATGCATTTGTCGCTTCTTTTTATCGTTTTTCTTTCTAAAAGTATATGCTTTTTCAGACATTTTAATGAATTTTGAGATATTTTGTTATGAAAGTAATATGATTTCTTAAATTTTGGTTCTTTTTCGATAAATACTACGCTAGAGCTCGAATGGCACTCCTTTCCAAAAAGAAAAGATAACGGAGTTGCCCGTGATATGGTTTCGAGTTGGAAAAAGACTTGTTTGAGTACCGAAATCAACGCTGAGGATTTGGTTGAATGTCCTTTCCCTTAGGGTTTTTAAAACGTGTCTGCTAAAGGAGAGGTTTTCCACACCCTTACAAGAAGTGTTTTGTTTCTCCAGTAAGATCTCACAATCCACCCCCTTTGTGGCCCAGCGTCCTCGTTGGCACACTGCCAGGTGTTCACCCTCTTCAGAGTTTAGCACCTCCCTCCGTAGCCCAACGTCTTCGTTGGCACACCCCCTTCATGGTTCAGCACCGCTCTTCGTGCCCTAGCATCCTTGTTGACACACCGCCCGGTGTTCATCCTCTTCGGGGATTAGTACCTCTTTTCGTGTCCTAGCGTCCTCATTGTCACATCTCGATGTTCACCCCCTTCGGGGTTCACTACCTACCTTCGTGGATAGTGTCTTCGTTGGCGTACCCCAGTGTTTCCTCCTTCGGAGTTCAGCATCCCTATTTGTGGCCCAGCATCCTCATTGGAAAACTCCCAGTGTTCACTCCCTTTGAGGTTCAGTGTCCTTCTTGGCACACCACTCAATGTTCACCCCTTCGAAGTTTAGCCTTCTCGCTGACACCCTCTGATACAATTTGTAAAGAACCACGACTCTCCACAATGGTATAATTCATTTTGAGCTTAAATTCTTACAACGTGAGCTCCTCTCCAACTATTGTCAACATGGAATAGACAAAGGACAAAGGTGGACCGCCATGTGACAGTGGAGCTTAGAACACTGTTTATGTCGTGATAGCTATCACTGTAATGCAAATCAGTGATAAAAATCAGTGGGTTTTGTTCATTTTCTTTGATCTTCAAATGGGTTTTCCTCGTTTTTTGGTTTTGATTCTTCTCGTCGTTTCTTCAGTCGATTGTCAGGTTAAAGGTATGTGTTCTTTCCTTCTTGCTTTCTGGTGCTGTTCTTGTTTTGTTTGAAGCAAACGACGAATTTTCCAAATGAATCTTTGTTTTTCTCACTTCCAAATCAATTGACGCTTAGAAATGCATACCCATTTCATTTAAAATGATACCCACATCGCTGATTTCTGTAATACCAAACTCATAAACAGAGTTCATCAGTATAGACTGTGGCGGCTCCAAGAACTACACCGACCCAGTTACAGGTCTGGCATGGATATCCGACGCCGGAGTCATGGATGCCGGTGGCTCATCGCCGGTGGAAAACCCACATGGGAACTTGATGCAGTATGGAACACGGCGGGATTTTCCGATCGACGACAAGAAATACTGCTACACTTTGGAAACAGAGGAACGGAGAAGGTATTTGGTTCGAGCAACTTTTCAGTATGGGAGTTTGAAGAATGAAGAAACTTACCCTAAATTTGATCTTTATTTGGATGCAACTAAGTGGTCGACTGTTACTATTTTTGATGCTTCGAGGGTTTATGTGAAGGAGATGATCATTAGAGCACCTTCAAGTTCATTTGATGTGTGCATATGCTGTGCTACTACTGGCTATCCGTTCATATCAACTCTTGAGCTACGCCCTTTTAACCTTTCGATGTATGCTACTGATTTTGAAGATGATTTCTTCTTGGAAGTAGCTGCTAGAGTGAACTTTGGTGCTTTGAGCAAGGATGTGATTAGGTAAGCTTCAATGACGCGGGTTTGATGGGTTGATCTTGTCTGCTTTGGCCTATTACGTATTGTTGTTAGCCTCAAATGTGTTTGCTAGGGAGAGGTTTCCACACCCTTATAAGGAATGGAATGTTTCGTTCTCGGCTTCGATTGATGTGAGATCTCACAATCCACTCCCTTGGGAGCCTAGCGTCCTCGCTGGTATATCGCCGGTGTCTGGCTTTGATACCATTTGTAACAACCTAGTCCCACTGCTAGTAGATATTGTCCGCTTTGGCCTATTACATATTGTCGTCGGTTTCCACACCCTTATAAGGAATGCTTTGTTCCCCTCTCCAACAGATGTGGGATCTGACAATCCACTCCCTTGGGGGAGCCTAGCATCCTCACTGGCACATCGCCTAGTGTTTGACTCTGATACCATTTGTAACAACCTAAACCCACCACTAGTAGATGTTGTCCACTTTGACCCATTAGGTATTGTCGTCAGTCTCATGGTTTTAAAACGTGTTTGCTAGGGAGAGGTTTCCACATCCTTATAAGGAATTCTTCGTTTCCCACAATCCACCCTCCTTGGGAGGCCAGCATCCTCGCTGGCATTACCGCCCGGTGTCTGGTTCTGACACTACTTGTAACAACCCAAACCCACTGCTAGTTTGATATTGTCCGCTTTGGCCCATTACGTATTGTTGTCAGCCTCACGGTTTTAAAACGCGTCTACTAGGGAGAGGTTTTCACACCTTTATAAGGAATGCTTCGTTCCCCTCTCCAACCGATGTAAGATCTCACAATCCACCCCCCTTGAGAGCTCAACGTCCTCGCTGCCACACCACTTGGTGTCTGGCTCTAATACCATTTGTAACAACCTAAACTCACCGCTAGCAGATATTGTCCGCTTTGGCTCATTACGTATCGTTATCAACTTCACGGTTTTAAAATGTGTCTACTAGGGAGAGGTTTCCACACCCTTATAAAGAATGTGTCGTTCCCCTCTCCAACCGACGTGGGATCTCACAACTTAGTTTTCAAAAAAAACAAAAACAAAAAACATAATGGTTTTCGAACGGGACTGGGGGAACTGCTTTTTTGATACGTATTTTGTTTTTGTTAGGTACCCAGATGATCCATATGACAGAATTTGGGATTCAGATCTTGAGAAGAGGCAAAATTATCTTGTGGGAGTAGCTCCAGGGACAGAGAGAATCAGTACTATGAACAACATTAATGTAATGACAAGAGAATATCCGCCTGTTAAGGTGATGCAAACAGCAGTTCTTGGCACAAAGGGAGTGCTCAGCTACAGGTTGAATTTGGATGATTTTCCTGCCAATGCCAGAGCTTATGCATATTTTGCTGAAATAGAAGAATTGGGTCGGAATGAGACTCGGAAGTTCAAATTAGAGGAACCGAACATTCCCGACTCGAGTAATGCAGTGGTGAATATTGCTGAGAATGCCAATGGGACCTATACTCTTTATGAACCGAGTTATATGAATGTCTCTTTGAGTTTTGTGCTTTCGTTCTCCTTCGTCAAGACTCGAGATTCAACACGAGGACCGCTTTTGAATGCATTGGAAATTAGCAGATATGTCGAGATTGATGCCAAGACCGATGGGCGAGATGGTAGGTTCTCTTCATCACCATATCTTCTTATGAAGATTAGTGATATTCTGAAACTTTTTTGTGAGATCCCACGTCGGTTGAAGAGGGGAACGAAGCATTTCTTATAAGGGTGTGAAAACCTCTCCCTAACAGATGTGTTTTAAAACCGTGAGGCTGATGGCGATATGTAACGGGCCAAAGCGGACAATATCTGCTAGTGGGGCTTGGGCTGTTACAAATGGTACCAGAGCCAGATACTAGGCGGTGTGCTAGCGAGGATGCTGGCCCCCAAGGAGGGTGGATTGTGAGATCCCACATCGATTGGAGAGGGGAATGAAACATTCCATTCCTTATAAGGATGTGGAAACCTCTCTCTAGCAAATGCGTTTTAAAACCGTGAAGTTGACGACGATACGTAATAAACCTAAGCGGACAATATCTGCTAGTGAGGCTTGGGCTGTTACAAATGGTACCAGAGCCAGACATTGGGCGGTGTGTCAGCGAAGACGCTGGCCCCCAAGCGAGGTGGATTGTGAGATCTCACATCGGTTGGAGAGGGAAACGAAACATTCCTTATAAGGGTGTGGAAACCTCTCTCTAGCAGACGTGTTTTAAAACCGTGAGGCTGAGGACGATACGTAACCGGCCAAAGCGGACAACATTTGCTAGTGAGCTTAGACTGTTACAAATGGTACCAGAGCCAGATACTAGGCAGTGTGCCAGCAAGGACGCTAGCCCCCCAGATTGTGAGATCCACATCGGTTGGAGAGGAGAACGGAACATTCCTTATAAGGGTGTGAAAACCTCTCCCTAGCAGACGCGTTTTAAACCGTGAGGCTGACGACGATACGTAATGAGCCAAAGCGGGCAATATTTGCTAACTTTTGTGTTTTGTCTGTGATTGATCATAAATTCTCTACTGAAATGGATTGAATAGTGTTTTCTGTTCCAATTTGTAGAGGCTGTTGTAAATGCCTTACGTACCATGTCAGCGGAGAGCGTTCAGACAAATCAAGGCGATCCCTGTGTTCCAACGAGCTGGGAATGGGTGACATGTACTGCCACGAAACCACCGAGAATATCGAAAATGTAACGTTCTTCAACTCTTCTGAATCTACATTCAAGGAAAATAAGCATTTTACCTCGACATATATATCTATCTATCCGTCCGCTTTTCTTGCAGTGAGCTCTCCAGAAGGAACGTCAAGGGCGATATTCCTCCCGAGATCAATACTATGGACGGATTAACAGAATTGTAAGTTCAACTTGCTGTAAAGAAGCTCGGTTTTCGTAAGTTATCCCTATGCAATTCACTGTCATGTCCTCGTTTCGATCTTCAGGTGGTTAGATGGTAATTTCCTTGCAGGATCACTGCCCGACATGAGTAATCTAGTAAATTTGAAGATTTTGTAAGCTCTCGAGGTTATCTACAACTTTCCGTTCTCGAACCGAATGAGCATACGTCGTTGTGATTTAATTGTGTGATCTTTTTTGGTGAATATGCAGACATCTAGAGAACAACAAATTGACAGGGACATTGCCTTCTTACCTGGGTACTTTGCCCAACTTACAGGAACTGTATGTAGCACTTTCTAACTCTTAAGCGTTTTGTATCGAACGGGTTTGGTCGAAGTTTTAGAAGAGAACGTTTTTGTTATATTGATCGACTGTGAATCGTATGTGGCAGATATATTCAAAACAACGCTTTCTCGGGCGAAATACCGTTGGAGTTATTGGCAAAGAAACTCGTGTTTAAGTAAGTACTCGAAACTGCTATTTTACCACGAGGTTTGAACTGTCTTTGAGAATGTGGCTTTCTAGGGATAAATCATCTAAATGACAAACGTTGTAAACGAGTTTTGACCTTAAGAGGTAGGACTCGTCTCGAGGGAGTCCTGGCTTGATGCATGAACATGTTTTTCTGGTTAGAAATGAAATCAACGGATCCTTATTTGTAACAGCTCAAGCCCACCGCTAGCAGATATTGTCCTCTTTGGGGTTTCCATTTCAAGCTTTCCCGTAAACGTGTCTATAGGGAGAGATTTTCACACCTTTATAAGGAATGTTTCGTTCTCCTCTCCAACCAATGTGGGATCTCACAATCCACCTCCCTTAGGGGCTCAGTATCCTCGCTGGCACACCGCTCGGTGTCTGGCTCTGATACCATTTGTAATAGCTCAAGCTCACCGCTAGTAGATATTGTTCTCTTTGGGCTTTCTCTTTCAGGTTTCCCCTCGCGGTTTTAAAACGCGTTTGCTAGGAAGAGATTTCCACACCCTTATAAGGAATGTTTCGTTCTCCTCTCCAACCAAAATCCACCCCCTTAGGGCCCAGCGTTCTCACTGACACACTGTCTAGTGTCGGGCTCTAATACCATTTGTAACAGCCCAAGCCCACCGCTAGCAGATATTGTCCTCTTTGGGGTTTCCCTTTCAGGCTTTCCCGTAAATGCGTCTACAGGGAGAGATTTTCAAAGCAATGTTTTGTTCTTCTCTTCAACCGATGTGGGATCTCACAATCCACCCTTCTTAGGGGCTCAATGTCCTCGCTGGCACACTGCTCGGTGTCTGACTTTGATACCATTTGTAATAACTCAAGCCCACCGTTAGTAGAATTTGTCCTCTTTGGGCTTTCTCTTTCAGGTTTCCCCTCGAGGTTTTAAAACGCGTTTCCTAGGGAGAGATTTCCACACCCTTGTACGAATGTTTTGTTCTCCTCTCCAACCGAAATCCACCCCCTTAGGGCCCAACGTCCTCACTGACACACTGTCTAGTGTCGGGCTCTAATACCATTTGTAACAGCCCAAGCCCACCGCTATCAGGTGTTTCCATCTGTTTTATCGTTATAATCTTATCGTGCAGGTACGACGGTAACCTCGGGCTGCATGCAAGTAAACGATACAACATGCATTCTAAAGTTATAATAGGAGTTTCATTGGGAGTGCTTGTACTTCTGATACTTCTACTTGTAGGAAGTTTTCTATTACTCCACAAGCTTCGAAGACGGACGACGCCTTATCATAAAAAAGGTCTCTACTTGACAAACCTGCTTAATACTTCTCGTATAGCACCACTTTTTTCCGACGTATCTCATCGTGTCGTGTGGATCTTAGGTGGTTCTCTGAAAGGCAGCACAAAACGCTCTTTTGGCTACTCGATCGGCAAGGGGGACGAAGGCATTGCCTACTACTTATCTCTCGCCGAGCTGGAAGAAGCAACTAATAACTTTTCGAAGAAAGTCGGTAAAGGCAGCTTCGGATCAGTCTATTACGGGAAGATGGCGGATGGAAAAGAAGTAGCGGTTAAAATCATGGCCGAGTCATCAGCACATGGGAATCAGCAGTTTACGACCGAGGTAGGTCATCAGCCTGTTATTGGATCGATCTCATCATGATGAAATTAAGCTCGATTTGCTGACCGTGTCGAGTATTGACAGGTTGCCTTATTATCACGAATTCATCACCGAAATTTGGTACCTTTGATCGGGTACTGTGAAGAAGAGCATCAACGGATTCTCGTTTATGAATATATGCATAATGGAACGTTACGAGATCACTTATATGGTCGGTTCTTCTGCTAGGCTTAAGTCTATTTTCCCGTGTTTCTCCGCTAATCATTTATCGACAGGTAGTACCGACCCGACGCACTTGGACTGGCTGCCTCGTCTGCACATTGCTGAAGATGCAGCTAAAGGTTCATCCTAGTTAGAAACTATGATGTTTGCCACTGAATTTTCAAGTTTCCATCATCAAGCCTTTTTGTATTCGAATCGATTCTTTTCAGGGCTCGAGTATTTGCACACGGGATGCAGTCCAAGTATCATCCATCGAGATGTAAAAACGAGCAACATCCTCCTCGACATCAATATGAGAGCGAAAGTTTCCGACTTTGGCCTCTCGAGGCAAGCCGAGGAAGACTTGACCCATGTCTCGAGCGTCGCTCGAGGAACAGTAGGCTACCTGGATCCTGAGTATGCGTCGTTTATTGTTTTTCCTAGACATATCACTCCTCCCTAAACCGTAGGTGAAACTGAACACGTGAATCTATCAGGTACTACGCTAGTCAACAACTGACCGAAAAGAGCGACGTTTATAGTTTTGGAGTCGTTTTGCTCGAACTGATCTCCGGGAAGAAACCCGTCTCACCAGAGGACTATGGCAGTGAATTGAATATCGTTCATTGGGTACGTAAGATCTTTGCTCATCTTCACTTTCACTGCATCATTGTAATTCTCGAGTCTTTACACGATCGGTCGGTTTCTACAGGCGAGGTCGTTGGTCCATAAAGGGGACGTGACGAGCATCATCGATCCGTTTCTAAACGGAAAAGTCAAAATAGAATCGGTATGGAGAATCGCCGAAGTCGCCATTCAGTGTGTGCAGCAGCATGGAGTTTCCAGGCCAAGGATGCAGGAAGTCATTGTGGCTATACAAGATGCAATCAAGATTGAACAAGGCATTGAAGGAAACCAGAAACTATCTTCAGGCAGTTCAAGAACACAATCGTGTCGAAAAACGTTGCTGACGACGTTTCTTGAGATCGAGAGCCCCGACGGTTCGCTGCTTCCCTCTGCAAGATAAGGCCTCGACAATTCCGCTACGATTTTCGGGTAATGTACGATAAAACGAGTAGATACCTTGACTAAATGCTGTTTGGTAGGAACACTGACAAACACAACAATCTTTTAACTTTTATTGTTCACTTGTGAGCAAGCAAGAATCCAAGTCTAAACATGACATAGAAAACACAATGACCAATTGTGAGCAGCTCAAAAGTCTTAGAATTATAGATATACGTTCTTCGTTCAACACGTGGAGGTGAAGAGTTGAAATTATATCCTTCGTTCAACACTTGATTACATTATTATAGATATACGTTGATTTGTGAATGATATCTATTTCTTGAATTCATGTACTTTCTGTTCGTAGCTTAGGTGGGTCAGATCGGGTTGAGTTGATATATTTTTTAGACTAAACCTGATTGTTCGAGTTGTAAATTTTTTTAATACAAACAACCCTCGTTAATTAATGAATCCAACTCAATCATAAAATGTTGGGTTGAGTTGGTTTAAGCGATTTGATAATATATTCAAATTTTTATTAACAATAAATTTTGATAAACTCATGAACCAAAGTATAAAATTTTTGTATTTTATTTGAATTCAACTCAAATAAATTAATAATCTAACTTAAACGAGTAACGTCTTTCATTGCATCTTTGACCCAGTAGAAGACTAGACTTTACTCTAGGCTTTAGATGTATTGCTCTTGTAGTGCATAGTCTTGAATAGCTAGCTTAGGCTACACAACGGTAATTGGTGTCCAATGTTGAGGTGCTACCTCAACAAACTCTCTCAAACAGGTGAAGACAACATGGTGAGTGGTAGCATGCTCGTCTTCCATGGGAGGTAGCTAGTGAACCCATCATATAGGCTATGTAGTCGCTCAAAGTTGGGGGCTCTACCCTCTATACGTGTCAACCCCGTCAAATGACCCTAGAGACCTAGATGGCCACCACGACAACCCTGTAAAAAAAATGGTAGCCTCTTAGGCTAATAGCAGTCCACACAGTGTCTAAGAAGCTTCCACATCCCTTTCCACTCCGATACAGTACCGTTGAGCTAGGTGTGAGGCTAATAAATTTAGTGGACTTTTAATTTTGTCTCTCTCCAAAGATTCTCTTTAAAGATTTCAATGGCTATAAAGGAATCTTTTAAGTCTTCTAAATCAATCAATATTAAAATAAATTAAATGATTATAAAAATGATAATCATATGTTTAATTATATATATATATACATAAATATTTTATGGGACTTTCATCCAACATCTCCCTCCCCTTAGTCGAGGTTGAGGCTCACAATACTTTAACCAGGGCATGACTCTAATACCATGTTAGATGAACACAACTCTCCACAGTGGTATGATATTGTCCACTTTTAGCCGATGATCATTTCCTAAATTAGCCGATGTGGGATCCAACAAAAAAAAATTACAGCTAACAATTAAGTTATATCTAATAAAAATGTCTCAACTCGACTCGACCCAACCCAATTCACGAGAACACGAATATCATTTAAGTTTCTTTCAAAATCACTTTCCATTTTTTGTTTTTATAAATTAAATTTATAAACATTATATTGATTTTCGTACGATTTTCGACCAACCATTCGTTATTTATTTATTTTTTATATGAACTCTTAAATATATATTTTTTAAAATTAAATAAGATTTTAATTATACAATTAGGTTTTTATTTATTTATTAATAACCAATATAGGCCATGAAATTATTAGTAAAGCATAATTAATTAGCCCAAATAATCCCAAATTAATTAAGTGGCATACGTCATTTACATCAAAATTAAAATAATAATTCTATTTCCAATAATGGAAGGTAGAAAATATATAATATTAATAAAAAAAATTAATTAATTATCATTTCCACATAATTAAATATTCAAAGGAAACCAGCTTGAAAGGATTCTGTTTTGGATGGATAAGAACGAAAATTCAAGCTTTTATTAGAAATATATATATATATATATATACATACATATTTCCAGCAAACCCTTAATTGATCCAACCATTCAATCTTCATCTTCATCGTTTATGAAAGCTTCTCTGTCCACAGAGGTGGAGAGTAAAGGTCATTTCACTGGCACCCGCCATTGACTGAAGGAGGACAAAGCGCCCTAAAAGCTTCTTTTAGGGTTTCGAAACTGGGTTTGTTGGGGTTTTCCTTCTCAAATTTCCAGTTTCTTTTTTGATTGGGGATTTTTGGTGATCGATTTCTAAACGAGAGATTGTTGTTCTTCCGCCATAGCCACGAAGAACAAGAGCTTTACGCTCTGGTTTTTCCCCTGTTTTCATCGGTTTCTTGCAGAAGACGAAACGGAATTTCTCGGATTATGTATTATCAGCTCGAGAAATTCCCTCATCACGATTCTTTACAAGTCTTGGAAGCCGATATTCAATATGCAAATTCTCTGTAAGTTTTGTTCGTTTTCCCTTTCAATCATGATGATTGACGATTTCTGAAAGGGTTTACGGATTTTTAGGTTTTTGATTCTGTTCTTCGTTTGATTTTTGGGTTTTTAGGGCGGCGGCGATCCCCATGGCTAAAGAGGGCGCCTATCTTCAAATGAAATTGGTTTATAATCATTTAGCTCCCATTGTTTTGTTCTTGCTTCAATGGATGGATTGTTCTTGCTCATGCTTGTTTCCCAGATATTTAAGCCTCTTCCACATACTTGTGTACAAGGTTTGTAGGGTTCTTGTAATTGTAGCCATTAGATGATTATAGAAAGCTATCTTGTTCTTGAGCTTGCTATCTAATTCAGGTATATCCAGAGGGAAAACAAAAACGAAGTATATCTAGACATGGAAGGAAGGCAACCATTAGGGAATTCTATGGTACTGAATTGTTTAGTTTAGCTAATTAGCTGCTGTTCTTTCAATTGTGAGTAGTTCTGAGTGTTCTGATCTTGTTTCGAATATCAGCTATAATATTGCCATCGCTTCAGCGAATCCATGGTAGCTTGGATAAGCTGGATGATTGTAAGGAAGAGTGCCATTGGATTGAGATGCACAGCGAGAAGAGAGGCGATAAAGATGTTAGACTCACGAATGTAGATACGAAGCGAGAAGACGAATGTGGTATTTGCTTGGAGCCGTGCACGAAGATGGTTTTACCGAATTGTTGTCATGCAATGTGCATCAAATGCTATCGAAATTGGTAAAAAAATCGAGTTATTATGCATCTTCGTTGTGTATGAAGCATTTTGAAGTGTGTTGTTTGTGTGTGTTCAAATGCTTGTTTGTCTCCTACATTACAGGAACACGAGGTCGGAGTCCTGCCCGTTTTGTCGTGGCAGCTTGAAGAGAGTCAACTCGGAGGACTTATGGGTGCTCACTTGTAGTGATGATGTGGTTGATGCCGAAACCGTTTCGAAGGAGGACACGTTGCGCTTCCATCGCTATATAAACAGCTTGCCAAAAGACTATCCGGACGCGCTGTTCGTAGTATATTCTGAATATCTATTCTAGGTTCGAGTAAAGTGTATAGAGGGAAATCCCGACTCGACATGTAAAGGTCTGTCCTCTCTGCTTTATATAGAATAATAATTGATCAGATGGCATGCTTAGTTAGAACTAATAACGCATCTGGGCTCATGTCATTACTAGTGTATCTTATGAACTTGAAAGTGCCATTTCATTTCTAATGCATTAATTGTCAATAAAGATGAATTTGGTCTCTGATGGAGTGTATCGTATGATAGTAAGGTTTGCTCGTATGTGTTTATCGACTTTGGGTTTTTGTCCTGCCGAGACGACGAAAAGATAGAGCATTTGAGTGATTTAAGATATAGATTAAAGGTATTGTGAGATCACATATCGGTTTGAGAGGGGAACGAAGCATTTCTTATAAGAGTGTGGAAACCTCTCCTTCGTGGGCACATTTTAAAACCTTGAGAGGAAGTGATATGAACCAAAAGACATCAATCATACAATAAACTTCAATGAATATGTGAAGAAAATGTTGTTGAAATTATCAAAAGATATTTCCATTCGAGAAGAATGATCTTCATTGTTATAAATTTTGAGTGGATCATAATTTATGGTAATTTAGAGTTATGTGGTTTGTTTAATGTATTTTGAGGCTAATTTACATGGTAGATAATTATAGTATATGTTACAAACTCTTGAAATGTCTCAGGTAAGGTTAAGAGTTTTATTAAAGCTAGCGTATATGTTATCATTGTAAGGAGGCTTGGAAAATATAATAAAAGAAGCATTTGTGCTTTCCTTTAGCCAATGACTAAGTTTTTTTTGCTATTTTATGTAGTTTCGGTTGCATGTAGAATTATTCAAAGTCGACATAATCAATTTTGCTTGTGAAGTGATTCGAATCTCAAATAAGTGTTCTTGTTCTGAGATATTTGATTATCATTAGGGTTAAGTTTAGATTGCATGTTTAGAATCATTCGAGTTAAACATGATTAATCTTGTTTGTGAGTGATTCGAATCTCCAACAAGTGTTCTTGTATTGAGATATTTGATCAGCAAGGTAATCCCAATCTTACTTCCGTTCTCATATCATTTGGTATCAGAGCCCTTGTCTGATTTCTTATCAGGAAGTCTAGAAGCAAAAGCCCGCCCTTGTCTGATTTCTTATCAGGAAGTCTAGAAGCAAAAGCCCAAAAAGAACAATATCTGCTAGCGGTGGGCTTGAGTTGTTACAAATGGTATTAGAGCCAGACATTGGGCGGTGTGCCAACGAGAACGCTAGCCCCCAAGGAGTGGATTGTGAGATTTCACATTGGTTAGAGAGGGGAACGAAGCATAAAGAACAATATCTGCTAGCGGTGGGCTTGAGTTGTTACAAATGATGTTAGAGCCGTGTGCCAACGAGAACGCTGGTCCCCAAGGAGTGGAATGTGAGATCTCACATTGGTTAGAGAGGGGAACGAAGCATTCCTTATAAAGGTGTGGAAATCTCTGTAGTGGGCACATTTTAAAACTTTGAGGGGAAGATCGGAAGGGAAACCCCAAAAAAGAGAATATTTACTAGCGGTGGCTTGGGCCGTTACATTCAGAGAAGAGAGAAGAGAGAAGAGAGGCTTTTGAAGAAGTTCTATATAATGAACATAGTTTTATGGCATCTCTTTTACAAGTGTTTAGAGATCATGTGGGGAATGAATAATTTACATTGAAACGCGAATTTGGACTTCAACACAAAAGTTTCTTCTCCTTTGCTTGGTGGTTTGGTTCTTTTCTTTTCGTATATCGTTTGTTCTTCAAGAGATGTGTTGCTTTCTCGACCAAAGTTAATGTGTCATATGGGGCAATG